GGGGGGCCCGGGGGGCCGGGCACAAGGACGTGGCACCGCCACGGACGTGAGGACACCCCCACCGTCCCCTTCCCCGCGGCCTCGGTGACAAAAGGGATTTTCTAACCCCCGCAGGGTTATTCCCCGGGAGAGGAGGAGGAGGAGGAGGAGGAAGGACAGCCCAGGCTGGCCAGGGGACACCGAGAGGGGGGGTGATGCCGGGGGACACGGGTGACCAGCCTCGTCCCGCTGGGTCCTGGGGGTGAGCTGCACCCCCCGGGTGCTCCCAGAGCCGGGGGGTCCTCGGGGAAGGGGGGGACACGACACACACGGACGAGGCCACTGTCCCCAGCCTGGGGCCGGGCTCCTTTATGCACCGCGCCCCGGCCTCGGAAACGAGAGGGGACCCGGGCCGGCGCCATCGCCCTGGGTCCCCCCCGGGCTGAGACCCGACCAAACTCAGGGCAGAGGAGCAGGACCCTGCCGGGAGAATCGGGGCAAACCCGAAAGATGCTCAGCGTCACCACGTCCTGCCGCGGGGACGAGCCCGAGCGGGTCCCCGGGCTCCCAGCCCCACAGCGGCCACTGTCGGCATGAACGTCACCGGGACGGCGGGGGAGCGGGGCCGCGGCGGCCCGTCCTGCTGCCCACCTTCTCTACCGCAGCCAAGGTGCGGGTGGCCCTGACGTGCCTCCTCTTCCTCTCCTCGGCTTGCTGCAACGGCGCCGTGCTCTGGTCGGCCGCCCGGGCGTGGCGTCGGCAGCGGCGCCCGCCTCGCGTCCGCATCCTGATGGCCAACCTGGCGGCGGCCGATCTGCTGGTGACGGTGGTGGTGATGCCGTTGGACGCCGCCTGGAACGTCACCGTGCAGTGGTACGGGGGGGACGCGGCGTGCCGGGCGCTCATGTTCCTCAAGCTGGCCGCCATGTACGCCTCGGCCTTCGTCACCGTCGTCATCGCGTTGGACCGTCACGCCGCCATCGTCAACCCCTTGGCGGGGGGCTGCGCCGGGAGGAGGAACAAGGCGATGGTGGGCGCGGCG